TTCTTTAGTCTGTAAAATATTTAGGAATAACTGGATTTAGATTAGAAGATATAAAAAAGTTTAATTGCGTTCCAAAACTATACCTAAGGTTATTAGTTAAGAGCACATACGAAATTCACATACATATACAGTCAAGCAAAAATAAATATGGAAACTTTCCAATAAAAAGTGAAAATTACAAATGTACAATATATAGAAATCTTTATATCATCTATATACTTGTAGAAAAATATATATTATATACAGTGGGAAATAGCGAATGTGAGTGCATATCCACACACCCATGCTCAAATTTATTACCAACAAGTCCTTTGCAATTAACAAACGTCAATTGAAGGGTAAATTAATGACAAAACTGGCCCCACACTCACGCACTACCACATGCGAAAGATCGGATCATATCACACACAGGCGGCACGCACCGGTCGGTTGGCCATTATTAGCCACTTTTGGCTTGTAAGTGCGCTAAAGGACAGCGAGCAGCAGACAATCATCCTTCGCCAACAATTTAGCGGCATTCACGATGATGTCGACTAACATACAGCGGGCAGTGGCCGGCGGTATTTTTTTGATTTGCGGCGTGTAATTCTCGTTGCGTTCGCTTTGTTCTTGCGTGCACCCGCTAAAGACCTGCAAAAGCAAGGTAAAAAGCAAAAACAAAATGAAAAACAATCGAGAAAATCCTGCGCGAATACAAGCCTTTGCATTTGTGGGTTCCCGTGCTGCCACTGCTGTCTCGTAAATTATATGTTCGGTGTTTGTTTGAAGGCAACAGTAGCGTAGCAATGGCAATTTCCTTTTGTTGCCGGTGTTGCAACGTTGTAATGCAACATTATAATTTACTTAGTTGTTGTGCCGTTGGCAGCGGTTGGCTACTGGCTACGCACTCTGTGTGGAACGCACAGCAGAACGGCAGGTGGGCTACAGTGAGGGGGAGAAGGGGAGAGGGCGAGTGAGGGAAGGTTAAGTGTAATATTGCAAGTTGGCTAAATTATTGTAAATAACATAGTTGTTGTTGTGTTATGCCTATTGTAATTTTCGCTTAATTGAAACATTAAAATGTGATAAGTGCAGAGAGGACGTAGGCAATACAACTTCATTCACTTATTTACATACATAGATATTTATGTATTTATGAGCACATGTCACGTGTAGTGATTACTTACGTGTTGGTAGTTGGATGTATTTTTAAAGCATGTTTTATAATACATACAGTACATTTCGAGTAAAAATTTTTTTTGGACAAGAAAAAATTATTTTTGGCTTGAACTCTTTACATTTACATCAAAATTACCTACCGAATGTGACTGTTTTTGACTCAAATTTTTTTTTTTTAAACTCCAATTATGACCACAAAAAAATCAATTTTCAAGTTGATAACTTCTAATTGGCCAGAAAGCGGACTCTTCACTACTTCTAGAACACATATCAAACATTTTTTACGAAATAAAAATTTTAACTCGAAAATTTACTTTAAAACTAAATGTTAAAAAAAAAAATTTTTTTGTCCAAAAATTTTCTTTTTTTTAATCTACATATTTGGCCTTGGCCTGGGGGCAAGCAAAACAAAAACAATTTGTTTTTCGCTCCACCCTAATATATAAATATCTACTACTTACATACATTATAATAGAATAAGTATATAATACTTATATATATATAATCTGATTCTAAGCGCCGAAAGAAGCCGGTATAGGTCCTTTAGACTTTTCTTTTTCTCTCTTTATGTCTTTTAAGTACTTATACACAATATTTTGTGCCCACCTCTCGAATAATAAGCAGTCATTAAATGTAAATTGCAAAATTGAGTGCTAAATTTGAGACATAACTGTCTACTGCGAGCAAAGTGGTGCTTCCTGGCGAGAGCATAGAATCATATAGATGTACAAGTAATATTATATATTTGGTTCCCCAATTTTTTAATAATTAGAAATATTTCGGCAATTTAGTAATCTCTGAGCGGCTGATAAGGAACGTTATATCAAAAATATACCGACATTGACACTGACTTAAACTTTTCTGAATCGGATGGAAAAAAATATATACCTCTTTATATGTCTTCTCTACAAAAATGTCTCTATTTCCACTTTCCGAATTATAGAATTATAGAGAGCTTTTGAAATGTTAATTCCGACCACTGAGAGTTAGTTTTAGTATTGAGCTCAAATCTAATTGGAACCATACGATAGACTTTTGTTAACAGTTCATTTGATTTCTAAATGGTTTAAAACTAACGGAAAGGTTATTTGTTTAAGAATAGGAGATATTTCAACATTTTAGCCGAGGAACCGGTAAGGAACTTAATGTCAAAATAAGAAAAAATGCTGAGGCTCTAAAACTCTTCGAAAATAAAAAAGATTTCCATACAAGAACTTTATTTTGATCTTTCATTTTGTATAGTATTTATATAAATGCTATAGTAGCCCGATATGAAAAATTTGTTCAGAGATTGTACCGTTGCCTTGGACAATAATCCATGCCAAATTTCGTGAAGATATCTTGTTAAATTAAAAAAGTTTTCCATATAAGAACATATGTATGTATATTGATCGTTCAGTTTGTTTGACATCAAAATGCTATAGTGATCCAGTTCCACAGCAGTAGCTTCTTGAGAAGAAACGAATTGGTAAACGATGCAAGATTTCAGATCGTTATCTCAACAATTGAGGGACTAGTTCGTTTATATACCGACAACAGGCGGGCAGACGGGCATGGCTGAATCGACTCAGCTCGTCATGCTGATCATTTAGGTATACATTTTATACGATCTCCGTTACAAACTTCGTCGCAAACTTAATATACTCGACATTATCACTGATTCTGGGGTTTGAAGAGAAACGCAAATTGGGACTCAAACACAAGCCTCTCCAAATAACAGTTGCTCTTTTGACTCAAAACAATATCATTGCAACACAGCTTGGCTGACAGGCTGAATGTCAGGTTCGACATTCGTTTACTCTTCGCATCCTCACATTTGCTCTGTTGTAGTAGTTGGTACTGCAAAAATGTTTCATTACGATGGCGACAGTATTGTAATTTTCATAAATTAAATTTGTTGAATACATATTAGATATACACATACTAACCTCTATGCCTCTAATATGGCACAAGAGCACCCTAATAACCCGCTTGTCAGAATTCGAGAATTTCCAACTCAATGCTAAACTGTAGCTATGTTGCTTAATTTCGTTGAATTTTATTTATTAACTTCAGAAGAAATTATCACCAACATTCCCGATGAGCGTCACTCGTAAGTGGCATCTTCCGCTTCTGCTTTTATACTACACACATAACCTCACTTATACAAGCAGTTATAGTGCTAGCTACCTTTGCGCAAACACCTGCTCAATCTGCACAATTTTCTATATAATTAATCAAAGTATTTATTTATGTAGTATGTACTTGACGTTGGGTGCCTTGATGGATTTTCACAATCTTGCGTCTAAATACTTACCTAAATACTTGTAGAGGAATTTTCCTTACGCAAGGCTTGTTTTTTAACCCTTTTAGGATGTCTTCATTCTTGTTATAAATTGTACATGAATTTGTTGTTATGCTTCCGCTGTCGCTGCCGCTCTGCATGACGCGCAGCCGTCTCGCTGGCAACCCCTCTTCCGTGTTCGGTGGCTTGACATTTTGTTCAGCGTTGATTTGATGTCTCTGCAAACGCTTTATTGACGGTGCTCAGCGGGGTTCCATATATGTTATTGCAATTCTTCATGATTGACATATAATGTGTGTAGTCTATAACAGTACTCTTGCTGAGGGTATGCATATGTATATGTGGGGATGCATATGGGGGAGGAGGGTTTCTGTGACTGTTCGTTTCGCAGCTTGTAACATGAAATTAATTTTCAATTAGCGCTCTTTATGATATTTTATGTTTATGACATTTTTTTGATAGGTCGATTGTACATGAATTTTATTTAAAGACTCCGCTTCTAACGTTGAATTCTTTAAAATTTAGAGAGCAAATTTTGCGTATAAAATGAAATATCAATTCGATAAAACATTGTTTTCTAATTATACAGATGTATATAAAGAGCACGAGCCGCGTTTGAGAAAGGCAAGAAAAAACCTTGACCACGTCCGTTCAGTATTATATTTATATGAAAAGTTAGATTTCGGCATTAAGCGGACCTCACTTGATCAGTTGAAAATCCAGTCCTTTCGTGATGTCAAAAATTCTTAGGTATAGATTAACTCTCCTGTTTCGAAGAAGCGCTTTGAGCCCATCGGAAATCCGTTGAGGCGACTAACATAACATTTTTAAGGTAAGTTAGGTTTCGGTATTACGGGGACTCCACTTGAGTAAAAGAAATCCCAGTGCTTTTTCTAGAGAATCTCATGTTTCGACGAAGCGCTTTGAGCCTATCTGTTGAGAAGGTTTATTTCGATACCAGCCACGTTTGGCTGAGTATTCGAGATCTTTCAATCTCAATCTATTGAACAGTTGAGGAGAAAGCGTCGATATGTTTCTACTTCGCTTTCTTTCAGGTAGACTTTGACAATTGGCGTGTGTGAAAATTTTTAGTGTCATCGCATAGTGTCCGATTTGAACCCCTACAACTGGACTAAGTAAGATGAAACTTGCAGAAAGAAAGTAGTTCAATAGACCTTCTGCTTTCTTCTGAAACAAAAAGTTTTTTTCTGTTACCAAACGATATATTATTTGATACTTAATTTTAATGATTTATTGAAAGAGACAAGATAATACACTTCCATTCAAAAATGACAGCGCCATCTGTCGACTGTATTAAAACTGGTGCCCACTCAGGACTCTTTCTTTTAAAAGTATAGTGACAAGATAGAATCGTTTTAATTTTTATTTTAAATCTTTCTGATTTTATATAAGCTTATATTAGGAAGTGTTCCGATTAAATTCCTTATATGTTACATTGAAAGACAGAATGAAAAACGCTGCTTTATTAATATACATATTTGTCTTCCGCAATCTATTAATATAAATAAAATTATTTCTTCTCTTTTACTTTCCTCAGAAGCCAATGCACTGATGGGAGCCGCCGATTGGACAACCGGTTATTCGTCGTACAATACAAGTGCCTATTCGCCCTATCGACCCCACAACCCCTACCAATATCCGCATCACACACCGACTGCTGCCGCGCCCACCAATCTGCCGCACTGTGGCTACGATCCCAGCGTACCGACCACATTAACCACCGACCATGGTTTAACGGTACCCGGTATGCTAACGGACATGACTTCGCTATGTGATTATCCACACAGCGGCATGGCAACAGCCACTGGCACCTACATGCCACATGCGCAAGCGCCCATTTGCAGTCCCAACCACTACGACGCCGGCAAAGGGGAACTGGAAACACTCAACACCACCTACCCCACATACAATAATTTTGCCAACGGCTACAACAACTACAATTATAGCAGTTGCGCCGCACAAAGTGGCGGTTACCCGGGACAAGCGGCAGCCACCATGGTGCTGTGTCCGAAATTCTACTCACACACCGTTAATCAGAATGAGATTCATGTGCATGTGCACGACAATTCATTGATCAGTTCGCTGACAGGCTACCGATCGAGCATAGAGATCGGCATTGGTACATCGGATCATGAAGCTATGAGCGCACAAGGATCGTCGCAGGCATTACACGACGCCCAAATGGGTGGTGGCAATGGTGGCAGTGGAGGTGTGGTCACAGCGGCGGACGTCAGCAGCGCAGCAGCGATCACGAGTACTGAGCACAATCTCCAACAGCAACAACAGCAGCAGCAACAGCATGACGCACAGTCGCAGGTGCAACAGCAACAACAACAAACACATTTGGATGTACCACAGAGTGATGCGTCTGTGACGGGAGAGCAACACAGCGGCGCACGCAATGTGGATGTGGGCGATTTGGGCAACGTCTGGCGTCCGTATTGACCGGGCGGTGGTGGTGCAACCACGAGGTCTTACGTACTTGCACATTGAACTGACCGGAAGCAAAAACCGAGGGATTCAATATTTTTTTTACTTGTAAACAAGTATAATTTTTTTAAAAGTATTTTTTTTTAAATATATATTTTTTTAAATAATTTTTTTTTTTTTAATATTTTTTGACAAATAATTTTTTTTTTTATTGTAATGTTAGTATGTATAGAGTATATACTAAATAGCATATAAGCATTTGTTTATTCACTTTTAAATGTTAATGTAAATACGTGTTAGGTAATAACAAAGCATATTTAAAATACATAATGAACTTACATATATGTATTGTATATACATATGTATTTATGTAATTTAATATGTATTGGCATTTAATATTTATTAATTGTAATGCAATCGTCCATAAAAGAGCTGATGTACAATATCGCGTAATTAAATATGGTATACATGAGTATTTAACACACACATATACACGTACATAAATACACATTGCGCAAATGTTCAAGAATTTTGTTATTTACTTTAAAATCGATAATAAGTGTTTACTCATAAATATTAGTACAACTTGCATTACATTTACTTAACTAAATGTATATTACATGTATACTCATGTGTGTATTATATAGCGTGTAATTAAATGAAATTAAAATGTTTAATTAAAAATTAAATACAAAGTAATGATTACCGAATAAAATTGATTTTTAAACCAATTAAATGTGAAATTGATTTTACAGCAGAGCGGAGTGAATGCAGCGGGATGGCAATACTTCATATTTGTAGCTATATACCATACATATTAGGGTGAGCCAAAAAAAAAAAATTTACCAATTGATTTCATTGGTTAAAAAAAATCTTTATAAATTTTTATATATACGAATTTTCCAATTGAAACAAATACCGCTAAGGGAGATTTTTAAGGAATTCGCGATGTAAAATTATTTTTAAATTAAGCAAAACAATTTTTCTGGTCGGTATAATGTTTGCTCTGTAAATAGGTTGATTTTAACACATAAATGTGTTTGGCTCACCCTAAAATAATCTATTTCTTTATTTTTCTTATCCATATTATTTTATTTCTTCAAATTCCCAACAGTTTCGCAAGAGTATTCAAACATCCATTGCAATTATATTGGAAATGTTGTAGATACAACAAAAAATTAACACAATAAAATGTAATGATTGGTTTTTAAAAGTCTTCGAATGAAACTTCATAGGCATTGTGGTAAAATTATTAGATAGAAGCTTGCCACCGGATAAAGAAAAAATTATGATTTTTAACAGAAAGAGTTTAAAAGAGTTGCTTGTAGAAAATTAAAAAAAAAAATAAGAAAAACGTTAACTTTGGCTACACCGAAGCTATAATAGCCTTCACAAATACAAGGGTTCTTTACAAGAACTTAATTGCGATTGTTCAATTTGTATGACAGCTATATGTTATAGTGATCTGATCTTAAACATTTCAGCGGAGAATACATTGTTGTCTTAAATAGTACTCCATGCCAAATTTCGTGAAGATACCTCGTCACATGAAAGAGTTTTCCATACAAGCACTTGATTTCGATTGTTCAGTTTGTATAGCAGCTATATGCTATAGTGGTTCGATATCGGATATTCCGACAAACGAGCAGCTTCTTGGTGAGAAACTGTCATATGCTAAATTTAAGGTTGATATCTCAAAAACTGAGAAATTAGGTCGCGTATATACAAACGGACAGACGTACAGACAGACGGACATGGTTAAAACAACTCAGCTCATCATGGTGATCATTTATGTATATATTATATTTTATAGAGTCTCCGACGTTTGCTTCTTGGTGTTACAAACTTCGGAGCAAACTTAATATACCCTGTTCAGGGTATAAAATAATAGTTGCCACAAGATTAATTTTTGAGTTAGAAAAAAAATTAAATACTAAACAATTGTTATATGGCAAAATAAAATATATAATTATTATTTTACAATATGGGTATCCAAAAAATCAATTTTACAAAAGATTTTTGTTGAATAATTGTTGCTCAAGTGTTGCCACCTGTTTGCAAAATTCGAATATAGTGCGACAACTCGTATATCTTCGATGTTCATATGTATTGTATATAGAACCATTGCAGCCTGAAATGTATAAAACAAACATAATTGCTAATGTCTAAAACATGACACATCAGAAGAATTTTCATTTTGTAGTTTTTTTTTTGTAGTAGTTTGATGGTTTTGAAATCTCGCACAAACTTCGTTATTACTTCTAGAACCAGCTTCATAGGTACAGTATTTTAATAAATATATTTAAATACATAGTCAAATAAATATATACAAAACTATTGTATGAACGCCCCATCTAATCCTAAACACGCCTACAACTCATTATCCTGCGCTTTGAAGGTTCCTTAGAACCCGTGTTTGTTATAAGAATAATTGCTGATTAGGCTAGAGATAGATTTTGTGGGATATACAAATAAAATATTTGTATATAATATCAGGTGATGTTCCAGATACCGCTCTTGGGTTGTTACTGAGGCTTGGCTAAGCGCAAAACAAGACCGAAGACGCACAAAGAAAAATGCATGCAAGCTTCAATGCCAGAGTAGGTCTTGTATACCTTAGACTCTCTCTAAAAAGTGTTGAACTCTTAAAAATACCACTAGAAACTCAAAGCGAGTTCTAAATGTATATTGGAGAACTTTTTATATATTGCGTAGCGTATAGTAGGGTGGAGCGAAAATAAACATTTCTTTTTAGCTTAGCCTGAGGTCAAATTTTTTAGATTATAAAAAAGAATATTTTTGGAAAAAAATTTTTTTTAACATCAAACCTTTTTTTTCGTTCCATTGTAGGCTGTTTATGTATATATCTTTATGTATATTATCACTTTAATTTTGTATACGTTCATACAAAAAGTAGTATTAGTGACACATGACGAAATATATATCGTTATTCATCGTATTACATTTTAAAACAATATTCGAAAGAAATACGGATAATCATAAAAGGAAAAAATTAAGAATAAATGTATGTAGGTACTTAAACAATATATCGAGTATTAGCGCATGAACGTTATCATACAAAATAAATAATTAAAAATGTAATGCTTCGATTTCTGCGAAAATGCTCATTTTTAATTTTTTTGTAGTAATAACGTTTTACGGATTAAAAACTCTGCTCTCACATTTTTATATTTTTAGAATTTTTCTTTAAAGCAGTATTATAAACATAATTTACTGTTTAATTCTGTTCTGAAAGATATCTAATTTTTTAGATTTTAGCTAAAAGATAAAGATTAAAGATGTGCTAACACGATATACACTTATACACATTTGTACAGTATATTCACCTTCTGCATAGGGGTAATCAGCTTCAAGCGCTGTAAAGATAACCGCGCTACATCGCTATTACAGTAGCTTGTCAATGCGCAGATACGTCGGACCTCCCAGTTGCAATGCATGTCGGCTCAAACACTTTAGGCTTAACGCTTTTGACATAAGCACATGCACATGAGCAGGCCGCAGACGCACATAAATACATATACGTACATAAAGCGCTAACAGTGAAGCTGTAACGAAGAATGTGAAAAAGTTTGACTGAAGTCTGCAATAACGCTGCACAAATTCCAGCTATGAAACTCAACCTGCGCAAATTCTTTTTCTCCCTCACGAGGCACAACGAGGCACTCCAGCTTAAATTGTTCGACAAGTATTTAAAGCTGAAAAAAGCTTAGCTCCAGCCATGGGTATAATTGTTAGAAAGTTGGCTTCACACACACAACTCCGTGTGCTTGTGTGTGTCTGCGCGTCCCTCACAAACGCTCATATACCTATTTACCGCAAGGTGAACGCACACGCTCACACAACTTCGGGCCAGCAGCATCTACCGGCCGTACGTTCGCTCAGGCGTTGAATTGATCACCTTCTGCCGTGGAAGTCCACAGTTTTTGCACGCGTGCGCTCCGCACTCGATGCTCCACGCTCGATGTTCGACGCTTGCTGTTGCACAGGCGCGCTTGCTGCTCGTTGCTTGCAGCTTGGGGCTTCGCCAGGCAACTGAGTCGGTACGTGGCAGCTAATTACGAGCGCGAATTTGATATTGTCCTATATTTTGCATCATTTCTTTGCATTCTACTTTTGTATTACTGTTTTTTCTGCTCATGTGCTTCTGTTAAGTTGAGACTTTTCATGTCTTTGCAATTTTACACTTGAGCGCTGATGCACACGCCGCTGCAGCGTTGCCTTTCAGTAGGGGAAATATCTTGGTATTACACACAGCTATAAATACATGCAAATACTCATAATGAGGCGCATGCGTGGTGTTTGTACACAAACATATACATACATACAAACAGTGTACGCAAGTAATGTGGATCCGTCAATCAATTCGCCAGTCAGTCAGCCGATATGTTTGCGCATCGAATGCTGTTGACATCGCCACTAAGGAATAAAGCAATCGAAGACGCTTCGAAAATTAATATGCAATTGAAGACGAGCCCTTTGGAAAGTACGCGTACGCGTTTGCTTGCTGCTGGCATCGATACCTTGCCAACTTGTTTGGCTTCATGCTTCGGTGCAATATTCGGTTGCAGCAGCGATTTTGAAGTGTATCTCTGTCTTCGCAAGAATCTTATTCGTAAGTTTAGATATCCAGATATAGCGAAAAGTAGTCAAGCTGATAACAATTTGATGTCCGTAGGATGAAGTCCTAAAAAAAAAATTAAATTAAAGTTTCGCGGCCAAAGTAAGCCACATTTTACTTAGAATAGTCAGAAGGAACTAAACTCACAGTTAAAGAAGAAGTAAAATTTGTTTAATTCCAAAGGAAACGTAATTTTCAATTGAAACGTTATTTTTTGTTATGGATGAAAAAATTGAATTTAGAGACCTTCAAAAATCGAACTATTTAGTAAAATCATCACTATTTGTGCAAAAATATTTATTTCGCCAAATCCGTCGTACAAGTTCAAAGGATGACATGATACGAAACTCTTTGATTCGAGTTAGAGTTGTCAAAGCCCACATTTTCTATAACATTTGTCAATCATCCGTATAAATGTATTCGCAGTGCTTGATTACTACAAAAAAATCCCGCATTTGCAAAAAAAAAATTGTTGGATTTTTTTTCAGAGAATAAGTGTATTTATATTTAACCCCTTCAGCAGACTTCGAACGTTTGAAGAAACTTATAAGCGGTTTTTTCATGACAGAAAAACGTTCATGTCCTGAATCGCTTCAATTGAAAAACAATAATTGATTTTTGTATTAGTACTTATGTTCTGAAAATAATTAATATTAGTGGTTTTTTTTGTTTAAAGTTTATGTAAGAAAATATGTAGTATAGTATTTTTAAAAGTATTGCCCATTTATACAATTTTTCCATTTTTCTGACAAATTGTGGATTGCGTCTCCAAAAAACTGCGCCGGCTTGCCGGCCAAGACTAATCAAGCCAATTTTTTGATACCCTGTACTAATAGCAGTTAGAAGGGGCATAGTCGGGTGAGACAAAACTTCTCAGCTGCTGTTTTCCAAATAGTTTTTTTAACGGTCTTGCGGCAAGAGGCCGAGTCTTTTCATGATGGAAAAAAAATTATTCGGTTCAATTTGATGAGTTGTTGCCGGCAGCCTTGCTCATTAAGGGTTTCAACCGATTCTAGCAGCACATAATACAGCACAACCTTATTATTCAAACAACAAACAAAATCGTCTTT